TTCCATTTACCAATATCCTTCAGGAAAGGGGCTATACTGCTACAACTGTCCACTTTTGGGTGACACCTACATAACTTTCAAGACCATCTGTAAACCAGGTCCTACACTTATTTCCTCTGTCAACTGGTCTTAGAACATACCCTATAAGGCCACTGGTGCATATTAGTAGACAGAAGGTAGTACAGAATGAGTAGGAAGGAACAATAGGCTATAGGATCCTTCCACATGTAACTTACTTGTACCTTCTGGACTTGCTTAGGCCAAATTATATTTATACCACTTCCACTTGCCAATGCGCTGTTACTGTGTATGTCCAACTTTATGACTCAGTGGATCAGATAGCACCCAATTCATAATAAGTAGCTTAGGTCACATGGTAACCTGCTGTCCTATAGTTAAGCGTTCAGTTTCCACCAAGGCCAATAGCAAGGCAGGATCTGTTTCTCAAAGGGAAAGTAATTATCTAAAGATGAGCCCAGAGCTTTGACCCAAACTCCTGAAGGCGTTTGCTGTGATTCACCTATGGGAATCTCCCAGAGGCTCCAAGCAGCACTTCTGTCTACCATTGACACCTTGAGTACCACTAGGTCTGCTGGATCATATGGCTTAAGTGGCAGGGCAGCCTATACAGCAGCCTGGACCTGTTACAGGGCCTTCTCCTACTCCGGGCCCCACTCAAAACTAGCAGCTTTCCAAGTCAGCTGCTAAATGTGCTGGAGTGACATACCAAATGAAGATTGCCTCCAAAATCCAAATAGGCCCACTAGGCATGGTGCCTTTTTTTCTATTGTAGAAAGGGCCACATACAACCATTTACCATGCATCTTAGAAATCTCTGCATGCCCATACAACTGGATTCTTGGAAGTTTTACTGAGGTAGAGGGCCCTTGAATTTTATTTCAATTTATTTCCATGTTCTGACATGCAAATGCTTTACCAAGAAGTCCAGAGTTGTTGCTATCTTTTGCTTACTTGATCCATTCAGCATAACATCATTTGAACCAGTGTAATACTTGTGAAAGTTAAAGACAAGATTCCTGTAAACTAAATTGTGACCCAGGGTTGGAAAGTTGATATACCCCTGAGGCAGGGCAGTAAAAGTGTATTTCTGGCAGTTCTAGCTAAAAGCAAATTATTTCCAGTGTGCCTTATGGATAGATATGGAGAAAATAGCATTTGCCAAATAATAGGTGCAAACCAGGTACCAGGAGATGTGTTAATATGTTCAAGCAAGGAAACCACATCTGGTACAGCAGCTGCAACTGGAGTGGCCACTTCATTAACCTTATAGTATTTCACTATCAATCTCCAAGAGCCATCATCATCTTTAGAGGCCAAATAGAAAAGTTAAAAGGAGTGTTGTGGGAACCACCACCCCTGCATCTTTCAAGCCCTGGTGGTAGCACTAATCTCTCCAATCCCTCCAGGGATGAGATACTGTTTTTTTATGTCCTACTTTCCCAGATAGTTGTTCCATTTTGCTTTTCCCATTATACCAGTCCTTGAACAGGTTAGGGAACCAATATGAGGATTCTGTTAAGTACAAAATATATCTATTCCATTTATGTATTCTGGAACTGGGGAGATGATCAGGTGGTGCATTCAGAGACCCACTGGACCTTGGCTAAAACTCCATTGATCACCTGATCTTCACAGGCGTGTGCTCTTACTGGAGAGCTACAGTGCTATTTTGCATATCCAAGAATCAGCAATAGTTCAGAACCAATATTCCATGGTCCCCTAAATTTCTAATTGTTTTCTTTTCCCTAATGAAAGGCCCTCAGTCCCTATGGAGAAGGATGGGGAATAGACTGACAGTGTAACTTTTTGGTAGTGCATCAGGTCCTTCCTCAAGTGGACCCATCCTCAATCAATAAGAAAAAGATGTATTATGAGAAACTTGTCATAGTAAATAGAGTGAATAATAGTATCCTTGTATTATTTTTTTTCTCAGAAAAAAAGCTGTCAATGTTTCACTATTAATATGATAATGTTATGGGATTTCTATGGATAAATTTCACAGGTTGAAGCCTTTTTTATTGCATTTGCTGAATAAATTATGTTTAAAAGAATGAGGGTGAATTGTAGCAAATCCTTGCTTTTGTTTTTGTTTTTACTTCAGCTGAATAATAAGGCATTTTTTCTTTCATCAGCAATATGATATGCTACAGCAATTGTTTTTCAAATGAAAAGCCAAATATGTTTTGCTAAGATAATCCCAAATTTCTCACAATATATCTTTTTCTTATTGATTGATTTGGTTTGTATTGATATTCAAGAGTGATGTTGGTATGCAATTTTCCTTTCCCATGTTATCTATATGGCATCAAAACTAGGCTAGTTCTACAAGGGGTGGGGGTAGCATCCACTCTCCAGAAGAAATCATATAGCAGTCTTAACCTGCTCTATATGGCTATCAAAGCAAAAGTTCAAATGTTATTGGTTTAATACATTCCTTCAGAAAAACAGTAGTCTTCTGCCTGAACTCTCATTATTCTTTCAAATTTGACCTGATAATTGCTCTTGTATTGGCAGTCCTTTAAGGCTTTTAGGGTTTTTCAACATTTCATACAGCTTTGGTTTGGGTTGCTTTTAGTGGGAAGGTTGACATGAACTCCTAGGTCATTGCTAATGAAATTCCCTGTGCACAAGGACCTGGGTGTAGAGGCACATGCTGGTAATCCCAGCAATTGGGATGCTGAAGCAGGAGAACTGCCATGAGTTCAAGCCAGCCTGGGTTACATAGTGAGTTCAAAGCCAGTCTGGACTCCTTGTCTCAAAAAAAAGTTCCCCATGCACGTCTTTATTCACATTATTGGGTACATATCTTTACATATCTTTTACTCTTTTTTCATACATAAAGGCTGTTTTTATTCTTTTCCTATATTTTTAATTTAGTTTGATGTTTATGAAACAAAATAAAATATCAAAAAAGTCATTAAATTAAAATTACCCTGAATGGAAAGACACTAATAAAGGTATTATACTACTCTCTCTATTTCTTCATATTACTTTTCAGGTACTTAGAGAAACTCCATAGATCATGTACTAAGAGAAGATTAAGCTCTATATTCCTCTAAAACTAAATAAACAATTGTATCTATTGTATTTATGTGTTAGGAGAGAATCTTTAACTTTAACAAGACTTTTCCTTTGAGTTTATCACACTCCATAAAAGATTGGGAATTGTGTTATTTTTGCAAAAAATATACAGGATTATAAAGTTCTTCTGCACAAACACACAATCTTCTGAATATTTTTTAATGTACCTAATGACCTACATGTGACTCTGCAGTAATTCCCTGTCCTTTTTACCCAAAGTTGACTATTTGGCTCCAATTCCTTTTGTCTTTAGATAGCACAGCAGTGAATGTACCTACATTTTGAAAATACCATCAGTGGAACAGAGAGGATGGGAACTAGGTTTGGTCTCTTACACAATCAGTGAAATAGCATCTTAGGTATTTTCTGGCTAGTCTGACAACTCTCAACAAAATCCTGTCACTAAACCTTTGGTAGGCAGGGACCCACTGGGAACACAAAGACATTCATGCTAAGTAGGAACTGGCAAGTAGAAGTCTTGGACTGTGTCATAATTTTCACTGAGGGTTGTTGGTGTAGGAGACAACCAAGCTGTATTCCCGGAGAAATTAAGCCCTTGCCTCCACCTTTACCTGACCGCTACTTCAACCCTATTCACTGAGACATGCAGAGCTGGCTATGTAGAAGCAGATGTTCTCTTAATTGGCCAGAAGAATGTGATTGAGTCCAGCTAAGGCAACAATGTGTGCATGGCAAAATGGCTGCATGCAGGTGAGAATTGCTCTTGTGCTGATGGCTGCAATGGAGGCTTAAGCAAGAGCTTGTGAAATCCCAGGGCTAAGACAGAAGATAACATCTCAGCTGAGGCCATGAGACTCAAAAAGAATAATACCTTCCTGGCAGAACAGATGCCAGCCTTTCTTATATCACGCTATCCATTGCACCACCAATTGGAAGGCCTCTGTGCCTGGTGCAAGAGTGCTCTGTTTATCCTTACATGCCATGTCTGTAATTTCTCTTCCCATACACTCTCCCATGGTCCCCACCAGCCTCCCTGATTGGCACCAATAAAAACCATAAGCACTCTGACTCTTGACCTTTTATTCCACTGAGAGCTATTGGTCATCCCAGAGCCCCTTCAATTGCAGATCTCTTTTTCTGTCTTTTTTCATCTGTGTACCATATTGCTGGGTGGAAAGCATGAACCCTAAGTGGGGTTTTCAGTATGTTGGGACTTGGTGAACATGAGAAAGTATCAGTGACAAAGTGTTCTCTTATTTTCTTTCTCTGGCAGAACATTGCACCCACTAACAAAAGTGGCTATTCAATCAGCCAGGACAAATTTTAGAAAGAAGTAGGAGTAATAGGGAGCTCAGCAAAGTGGTCGTGGGCCAGAGGGTAGAAGCAAGCAGGTTTCACCTGTCTTCTGACATCTTTGATTTTTTCCTGCTGTTCTCACTACACCCCACCACCACCACACCACACTAGGTTTTATTCACCCTTATCCAAGTTTTACCTAGGTATATAAAAGTAACCCAGGAAATTTGCATTAATTAACAAAATGTGATCCCAAGGGACAGATGCTCTAAACTCACAAGGATAGACAATGGTAAGGGTAGGCAGCTGCCACCTTTTGTGTCTTCTTGGAGGTGTTGGGGGCTTGGGTGGGTTGAGGTTTCTGGAACACACAGCTCCAAGGCCCCTTCTTGCTGCCCTGAGTTCCTCTTTCTGCTGTCAGCACTGACTCAGCAACTGAGTGGGAGATCAGGACGTTGGCCTGGATGATCCCCTCTTGCCCAGAGCACTGGCAGTTGGTGGCCAAACCTCCTAGGCAGCCCTGAAGGTTGCACCACCACACTAGCAGGACAATGGGACTGTGAATTCTCAAGCCCCCTCCTACCCCTTCCTTCCTCTCTCAGAGGCTAAAAGTCTGGCAGGGGGAGAAACACACAAGTGACTGAGCAGACTTTCAGGCAAGATGCAGCCACTCGTGCTCCTGTTGGCCTTTATCCTACTGCCTGGGGCCAAGGCAGGTAAGTGACCAACCTCAGGCTCAGAAGTCTGACCCCATCCCATAGACTCTGGGATCACATTGCTTTGGCACACCTTAATTCTATCTGTTTGAACATGTTATTTTAATTCATATTTCCTGATTCCTCAACTGTTAAATGGGAATAATATTGATAACAACCTCATAAACTTGCTATGAGAGTTAATTTATTAATGTATATAAATCTTAGAATTGATCCTGGTACAAGGTAAGTGCTATATGAGTATACTTTATGTAAATTCATTCTGTATCCCACATGTCAAAGTCCAAGAGATATACAGAATTGACAGTTCCATTAGCTCAAGTCTAGCTTCTTAAACACCAGTCCTATGGTGTCCATAAACTGGACTCAGAGAAGAACATGGAAATTTCCTTGAGGAATAAAGAGACAGTGAACTTCAAGGAGAGTTCTTGCTGGATAAAAACAGAGCCTCTCTCTTCCATTCCTGAAGCTGAGAATGGCCTTGCCTGTAATAACCATTGTTCTCCACTTTCAGAAGAGGGGATTGAGATGAGGCCTGTGATGGCAGTGGCCTCTGAGAGCTTGGGAGCCATCTCCCATCACCCTCATCATCTCTTCTTCCCTCCCACCTTCTGAGATTTTTAAGCCATGAATCTGATGCCCACATTGCTGGTTCTTAAGCAGATAAGTAAATGCTGAATGCTTCTTTCCAGAGAAGATCATTGGAGGACAAGAAGCCAGGCCCCACTCCCACCCCTACATGGCGTATCTTCAGATTCAGACACCAGATGATCTGAGAAGTTGCGGGGGTTTCCTGGTACGAGAGGACTTTGTGATGTCAGCAGCTCACTGTTTGGGAAGGTAAGAAACTCAGGTAATCTGCTGGGAGACAGTAACACAGACCCAGAAGAAGTCCTCAGAAGAGCCATCTGAAAGCAACACTTTGGCAACGAAAGGGTGAAAAAGAGCCCAATAAAATTGGGGAAATGGGAGGTGAGAGGCCAGTGTAAATGAGAATAGAAAATCACGATCTAAGAGAACGGGAGATGGAAAGCATGCACTGAAGTTCACAATATATTTTGCAATTCAATTTAGAAAAATAAACATCAAGATCACCATCCCTTACCATTCCTAGCTCAGGGATGCTGAGCAACAGAGATCTGGCTCCAGGGTCCTGTCATTCCCTCTTCTCTCCTCAGCTGCAGTTTTGCCCTGCCCTGATCTGTCTATGGCACTACAAAGCTTCTAGACAATCGCTCCTGTTGCTCATACTTACCTCTAGGCTAACTTTTCCTTTGCAGTGTTATAAATGTCACACTGGGGGCACACAACATCCAGAGGCCAGAAAGGACCCAGCAGAGAGTCTCTGTGCGCAGAGCCATCCCGCACCCTGGATATGATCCCCAAACTTTCCTGAATGACATCATGTTACTGCAGGTACTGTGTGCCTATCTGGTTCTTCAGCTTAGCCAGCTCCCTCTTAGGGTGAGTGCTTCACTGTACTGGGACAATGGGGAAGGAAGAAAGGTGGGGCTCCTGGGAGTGCGTTGAGGAGAACATAAATTGCATACTGTACCAGCAGTCACTGAGAGTTGTTTGGGAGTCCCATCTGAGCAGGAATGCCTGCACTTTTCCTGACAGCTGAGGAATAGAATCAGGCGGAATCGAGTTGTGAGGCCAGTGGCCCTGCCTAATGCTGGAGAAAAGCTGCATCCTGGGACTTTGTGCAAAGTGGCTGGCTGGGGTTTGGTAAGCCTGAACAGAAGGACGGACAAACTGCAGGAAGTGCAGCTGAAAGTGCAGAGTGATCGGAAGTGTAGTCGTCACTTCAGCAGTTACCGCAGCCAGACTGAGATTTGTGTTGGAGACCCTAGACAAAGGAAGCTCGCCTTCAAGGTAAGCATATGAATATCTGCTGATATGTCCTGAGACAAGGTGGCCTGTGCAGAAATGAGGCAGTGGGAACAGACTTTATCCCCCATAGTCTCAGCCTGAGGACCAGACCAGACCAAACCAAGGTGTGGTGGGAATCTTTTCCTTACCCATCCAGTATCTGGAGGAACAGGAGGAAGACCCACAGAAAACACATACATATGCAGCATCTTCCTGGAGAAGGTGAAGTCAGTATGAATCTGATTGATCTGAAGACAGGCACTATAACCAAGTCTGAAGCCAGAGACTATACTTCTGCACCCCTACAAATCTGCCATCTCACACACACCAGCCCTTGCAGAAGCCCATCCACCACTGACTTCTCTGAGAGAGGCAGATTTAGGATAGCAGGAACAGAAAGGTCTCAGTTAGTATACTATCTCCTCTTTGCCTACAGGGTGATTCTGGTGGCCCCCTGGTATGTAACAATAAGGCTCAAGGCATTGTCTCCTATGGAGACAGCAGAGGAATTCCTCCAGGAGTCTTCACCAGGATTGCAAGCTATCACTCCTGGATAAAGAGAACAATGAGACGCTTCAAACTGCAAGACCAGACTGAGGATTTCCCAACTCCGTGACTGACAGTAAAATTCTCTGGAGCACAGGTCAGCTGCAGGGGATTGCCACAGCCTTAATAAATGTTCCATCCAGAGTGCAAATATTTGTTCATTAATCATTATTCATTACTGTCTCGGTTGGTTTGAACTGCTACAATAAAATATTGGCTTATAAACAATAGAAATTTATGATTGCATCTTCTGGGGAAAGGCAAGAACATTTATAAGGGTTCCTTGAGCCTACAAAATATAGCTAAGACATGTGGGCATGTGAAACAAATGTTAGAGAGGAAAAGACTCTATGTTCTTTATCTCATTTGAGCCAGTGATATATGTCATCCTTGCAATGGGATCAGTGATATATGTCAACTTTCTGATAAGATACAGTCCAGGCGTCTGTATCAATAGTCACACTCATTACAGAAAGGAATGTTGTAGCTGTTTTGCTGTATTTTTTTTAAACAGCTCACTTTGAAGCAGAGCAAGTGACTCTGATGTAAAACCAATTGGAGTAGCTAATGGAGGCTAAAACAACCTCTCCCTGGTTGCTTACTCCTCCAGATTTTCCCCCAACAGATCACAAAGGCAATTCTTTGACATCTTAGTAGTGGTTTCTTCTTCCATATCTGCTTCTGGCAGAGAGTGGATGATGAAAGAAAGGGGCCTCAAATGAATTTGTGGATGTTTCAGAGGCTGGGGGCCTCATGTGAAGTTTGAGCATGAAACCAGTGGGCGGTATGCTCACGGAGTGAAAGACCAATGCATTCCTTATGAAGAGGCTGGGATCCTGACCTGCTAATTATTTGAAGATGAATTTTTGGAGCCTGGAGGACACAAACTTTAACAAAAAGTTAAAAAGCCAGGACCAAAAGGAAAAAGAAATAGGATGGCTACAAGTAGCCCTAGAAAGGAGAAACAAGGTAAGGACAGTGTCTCGGTTACTTTTCTGGTTGCTGAGGCAAAATACTCAACACTCAAAGTTAAAGGAGGAAGGGCTTCTTAAGCTCACAGTTTGTAGAGGTTTCAGTCTATAATCGGCTGGCTCCAACACATGGTGGCATGGCAGACAGGCAGCAAAAAGGAGAAACACTTTATGGTGGGTAGAAGGTAGCAAGGCAAGCAAGGGACAAGACAAGCCTCTTTCTGCCCCTTCTATTATATCCAGGCTACCAGGATTATAATCTAGATCAGGGGTGTGTGGTATGGGATTAGTCTACTGATGGGTTTATGGTTAGGTGTGATGCTGGAAGGTGAAGCCTGGTGGGAAGCAGTGGGACACTGGGCATGATGTTGAATGCTATATATCATTTTACCTCCTGTTATGGTTTGTGTCTGCATGTTCCCCAAATCTTCATGCAGTCATGGGGCCAGCTTTTAGAGTTTAGGATTGATTCATGGGTGTGAGTGCTATACCCACCCCGGGGTGGATAGTTTGCCTATGTAAGGGAGAGAAAAAGGCTGTTTGCCACCACTCCTCCCTTTTGCCCTTGCTGCTTTTGCCATCTTCCATTGCCATGAACTGTTGCCCTCTGCATGTACCACTCTGCCTTGAAGCCAGCCGAGTATGGACTGAAACCTCCACAAGCAGTGAGCTAAATAAACCTTCCTTTCATTGATTCTGGGTGTCAGATATTTTGTCTCAGCAACAAGACAAAAGTAACTAAGACACCTCCCTTGATCTCGGCCCTGCTTCCTGCTCGCCTTGCCATGAACTCTTTCTCCTCTCCCATGCCATTCTGCCTTGGAACCAGCTGACTGCAGACTGAAGCCTCTACAAACTGTAACCTAAAATAAACTCTTTCTTTAACTTCCAGGTATTGGGTAGTTTGTCCCAGCAACAAGAAAGTAATAATACAGGCATCCAAGGCAGGAAGGATAAGGAAGTAAATAATCGAAACCACTAGTCAGCCTTAAGGAATACAGAGTGATGAATTTTCTGGGGAGCAAATCTGGGAAAGTTAAGTGATAGGAGTAAGGATAAGGGTTATATATAATGTAAGAGAAGCCAAGTTCAACCCAGCAGGAGCAAAGGAGACATTTTCCATGAGGAGGAGTTGATTCCCAATAGTAAAAGAACGTGAATAAGAATGACAAGGAATAGGTTCCACTCATATTACCATTATTATTTATATCCCCAGGGAGGAGGGTGAGCAGATCTAAGAATGTCTGGTAGAGAAAAAACAAGGATAATAGCTTGAAGTAAATAACAACCTTTGTCCAAGAGTAGTGTGAAAGTTCCTCCTGGAGAAAAAAAAAAAAAAAAACTATGACAAATTCCCAGAATTGAGTTAGGTCCTGCAACTGGAGGAGGAGTAGTCTTTATCCTTGGTAAGTGAATCCAAAATGACTAATATAATAGCTTGTCTGTGGTCAGAGAGGTACATAGTACCTGGTAAGGTCCAATTCTATACTGCCTCAGGTGGATTTTTGACCTGTGAAAAGATTTTAAGTGTATTCTATCCCCTGGGTTAACAAGAGGCACTCCAAAAAGTGGAGTCCAACTTGGACTATATTTCTTCTGACAGTCAGTGATAGTCTTGACAGCTTGCTCCAGTGATATGACATAGTGAGACAGCTAGTGAGCCTCTGGATACAGCCAGATGTCCATCTGAACAAAAGGCCTGCCATACAGAACTTTGAAATGATGGAAATGAGTTATAGATTTGGGAGTAAAACAGGATTTTAAAGAGTGAAATTGGCAGAAGAGCAGACCAAGATTGTTGTGTCTTATAGGAGAGTTTAGAAAGGATCTTAAGAGTTGGGTTAGTTCTTTGTACCTTTATGGAGGATTAAGAATGTCAAGTTGCATGGGGTGACAATGTGGAGAGCCTCAGCAATTCACTGAATCCTCCAGAGGCATCATGCTGTCTCAGGTAAGGCATACCTCCCTGCTGCTCTTGCTCTCCTCAGTCCAGAGTTTCTCCTCCTACTGGGACCCTCCCTTTCCCTCTTTTTCCTCCTGGCCACTATGGTGTTCAAAAGCAGAAGAAATGGCTGAGCTAGACTCTTCTTCCCTATCAACTAGAAAAAGTAGTCAATCCTACTGCAGCCATGCAGCTCCATAGGCTTCACAGGGGAAAATCCCAAGTGAAGCCAGGTGATATGTGCCATGTGGCAGGCTGGGGGCAGATGACCACATCGAGAAGTTCAGCAACCACTTTGCAAGAGGTCGAGCTGACAGTGTAGTGAACTGAAATGCCAATCACACTTACATGTCTATTACAACAATGCCACTGAGATTTGGGGACAGGGGACAAGGAAACAAAGACCAGTTTCAAGGTGAGGTTTCTACTATGTATAAAGACATAAGCCAGGAAAAGAGAAAATTGGGGCATCCTGGGGTAAGATAGTGGCTATATGCCTATGTCCTGAGTCCAGAGCTTGGGCAGCCTGGGTTCCCCTGCACTGCAGTCTTTAATCCACTCCCTAGGTGGATAGGAGTAGAATGTGGGGAAATATCAGTTAACTGAATGCAGTATAATCACCAGAGTATCTCTAAAGATTGCACAGAAAGGCTAGAGCTGCTGGTCAAAAGGAGGCAGCCAGGCCCACCCTGCCCTGATCTCATGCTCACAGCCCCTGACAGAGGTCACCCACCATGGGGAGGTTCAAAGAGCACCACCAGGAGGAGGCCAGCCCCATACTTTCCTTCTTTGTCCTCAGGGGAACTCTGGGGGTCCCTTCATGCATAACAATATAATCAAGGCATTTTCTCTAATGGAAGAAAATACTGGAAGACCCCCCCAGGAGTTTTCATGAATATCTCCCACTTCTTTCCTAAAAGGTAAAGAGCACCATGGAGCACTTCCAACAGCAGGCACAAGATTGGCTCCCTGATCATCTTTTCTGAGGCAGAAGAAAGAATCCCGTGAGCATGGGCCTTAAGGACTGCACAGTGATAATAAATGGATCTCAAGAGTGCATGTGGCTGAAGTCCTATTTATTCACTGAACTCTTTCAGTGTGCATCTGTATTGCTCCAGGCAGCCCTCTGCTGGTCTTTCTGGTTTTTGCTTCCTCTTTTCTCCCCAGCCCTCCTTTCTTCCCTTAACTCCATTCTATATAATTTCTCATTTATTGGTCAAGCACAATGTTTATTTTGTTGTTTGTTTGTTTGTTTGTTTTTTGGTTTTTTTGTTTTTTGTTTTTTCTCCGGTACCGGGAACCGAACTCACGACCTTGCGCTTGCAAGGCAGGCGCTTTTGCCGCTGAGCTAAATCCCCAGCCCCCTTGTTTGTTTTTTGGGAGCCAAGGGGCTTGCTATGTAGTTCTGGCTGGCCTTGAACTCACTATGTAGTGCAGGTTGGGTGATGCTCCTTCCTCAACCTCCAAAGTATTGGCGTTACAGGCATGGGCTACCACACTCACTCAGTAGGCACACCTTTTTTTAATGCTCAGCTCTCCAGTGTGGACTTTCTCACTGCACAGCAGACAGTTGGCAGCACTAGGAGGTGTCATCATACACACAGTCTCACATCTTTGATACTTAGCCCTACAAAAATAAATCTCTGGGGTTTAGGACACCTTTCCCTTCCAGTTCCCCTGATTTAAGCCACCTCCTTTCAGCTCCCTACAGAGTTCCTACTCTGTGCAGATTCACCTCTATCACTTGTCTGAGCCAAACTTAGAACTCTCTCCCCTTCTACCTGGATAGGGCAGGCTGAACCTGTTCCGGCCCAGCATCCCCCAAAGGCTCAGGCAGCTCGGCCTGTGGAGACACTGCAGTCTCAGCCCTTTCAGCCTGGCCTGGCCTTGGAGTCCACGCTCCCCCTGCTGGCAGCCTGCAGTTGGGTGGCCTATGAGCCAGAAAACCCAGGGCTGCTGGCCTGGAAATATCGCTTAGGCATCCATCAACACTTTTTAATCTCTTTTCAGTAGACTCTGGCCTCATCTTCGGTAAACATACAGTAATGAAAAGTTTCATCTAAATACTCCTGATTCCTTTCCTTCCACCAGGCAGCTCAATTTGGCATAGATGGTTCTTTTGGAATCCAAAGGAAATCTTATTTTGAAAATAATTCAATTGTTTTAACATGTGTGATTTTCTCTGCTTGCAGAAAAGAGGTGTAGGACACCAGAAGTGACTTGGAAATTGTTAGGTCCTGAGATTTCTGATGTTTGCTCAGTGTGGTCTGTGTCCCAGGTGTGGGAGGACGAAAAGGCAATCAGGGCAG